ATGTTCCGGTGTGCCACAGGGCTCAATACTTGGGCCTCTTCTCTTCTTGCTCTATGTAAATGACTTTTAAAACTCGCGTTCCAAATACCTCCCTGTACGCCGATGATACTACCCTTGTGGCATCTAAACTTGCCCTGCCCATGGCGTGTAATTCTTTGCAGTCGGAAATTTGCTCAGTGGTTGAATGGATGCATCTCTGGAAACTTCGACCGAATGCTGGATAGACTGTCATATTGTGCATTCCACCTCAACCGCGTTCCGATCTTTCCTACATGGACCAGTACCTATTCCACTTCCCTGACGACCGGACGCCCATCCCAACTGTTAGCCACCACAAACACCTTGGAGTCATCTTTGACTCAGGCCCACCATCTGGAGTATCTCGAGCACCAAACAAGTTCCACTGTTGGTCTTCTATACAGTCACATGAGCCATTTACCACTAGTATGTCGTCGGGCTTTCTACGCCTCCTATATCTTACCCATCATTTTATACTGTAGCATTGTGTGGTGCAGTGTTGGAGCAGAAATGCTTCCGCGGCTTGAAATAATGCATCGCAGGATTTTGAGAGCGATATTTCGCTTACCACTTGACACCCCATTAAAGGGGAAGTTAAGGCAAAAATTAAAATTTCACCAGTTGTAGTTTTCGGGGTGCTGAGTCGAATGGTCTTGGTCCGAGAAAGCTGAGACGCTTCCTTCCTGCTTGAATCCCAAACGAACTCGCACACTTCCACCGAAACTGGGTGACTGCGCCCTACTAGATGGGGAATTGTATGCAAAATGTCACTAAAAGCACCGTTTCGTTCTTATAAAAGCACGGATGACCGCGATTGGCCCATATATTGTAGTCTTTTGGACGCTGAATCGACTGGTTTTGGTTCGAAAAGGCTGCGATGCAGCGTTCCTCCTTTATTCCCAATCAAACATGGTTGAACAAGTGGTCACGTGCTCCTGGGTGCCGCAATCACCCGGTCACACCGCCAGCAGGCGACAACTTTCACACCAAGGTTCAACTCGAGTTCAACTCGAGTGACAGGACTGCACCCAAAAAAGGTCAAACAGGCTAGTAAGTTGTACCCTGCAGGCACGGTGACCCGCTGACTGGTGTACGCAGGAGCACGTGACCGCTTGTTCAACCATGTTCGATTGGGAATAAAGGAGGAACGCTGCATCGCAGCCTTTTCGGACCAAAACCAGTCGACTCAGCGTCCAAAAGACTACAACATATGGGCCAATCGCGGTCATCCGTGCTTTTATAAGAACGAAATGGCGCTTTCAGTGACATTTTGCATACAAATCCCCATCTAGTAGGGCGCAGTCACCCAGTTTCGGTGGGAGTGCGCGAGTTCGATTGGGATTCAAGTAGGAAGGGAGCGTCTCAGCTTTCTCGGACCAAGACCATTCGACTCAGCACCCCGATGACTACAACTGGTGAAATTTTAATTTTTGCCTTAACTTCCCCTTTAACAATTCTGTATTCTCATTGCAAAACCTGTCCTTTACAAACCATAATTAACAGACTCTGCTGTAGATTTATCCATCAGATCAAACTGCTGAAGGCCCCAATGCATATTCAAAATGCAGTTAACTGGTTTAACTCCTCTTCGTCAAGTCGTAATAAATTTAGATTCCCTATTTCAAGAAATAACTCAATGAGTCGCTCGCCTGTTTTCATTAGCTATTGTCTCTGGGACTCGCTTCCCCAAAAAATGCAATCATGTGAAAACATTTCTGCCTTTGTTCGTGATCTCTCGGACCATTTCCCGTAAACCTAATAATACAACTTGACTTGCAGCCCAATCTCTTCTTTTATTGTTGTTGTTCTGATTTGCACTTGTTTTTCTTTCTTCTTTTTTCTTCTTCTTCTTTTTTGCCATGGCTGGTGTTGTAAACCACCAGTTCTCAATTGGGAAAGGCCTTCGCGCTTATGGCATGGTATTCGGTGAAATGTTGTATTTCGACTCCGCCGTACCGCTGATGTTGCTGCATGGCATACGCTATATGCGTTGTGTGCGTTTTGCTGTATACGCTGTTATGTCCAGTTTTATATGCGTATGTTTTGCATGTACGCTGTTTTGCATGCTATAAATAGCTGATGTTATTAGTGTTCATTGTTAATTATTCGATGAAGTGAAATATACTGTCTAAAGGAAAAGTGTTGTCCTCGTGCCGTGTGGTCGTACGATCCTGACAATTTAGAGAATCTTAGAGGGTTCACAACATTTGGCGACCACGCCAGGATACGAACCTGGAATCTCCTGATTCGCAGTCAGGAGCCAAGCACCCAGTCCTGTTAGGCAAACATCATCTGACCGAGTTGCTGTTGGAGAAAAAGCATGTTGAAAGGATGCACCAAGGTGTAGAAGGAGTCTTGTCCTTCATCCGTCAGAAATTCTGGATTATCGGTGGTCGACGAGCGCTACGCAACATTACTCAGCGATGTGTTACATGCCGCCGCTACAAGGCTTAGGCCCCGGTCACACCGAAACAAGCCACTTTGGGCTTGTTATCGCTGGCTCTCAGCTGGCTTGCGTGATCCCTGTGACGCGGTCACACCAGACTTTCAGTGCAAAGCTTGAATGGCTTGTTTTTCTTACCCGACCAAATTTTGAATATCTCGAAACACACCAATGTTGGCAAGAAACTGGAGAGCAGAACGTTCGCGATCTAAAACTGTACTTGTTCTAGTGTTCAGTTTTGATGAAGAAGCAAAGGAAACCCGGATTCTGAATTGCGAAGTCGTGCTCCTTTTATTTGTTCGGTGTGCATGGACGCGATGGCTCGGGTGGTGTTTCCTGATGTCGAGCTTTCTGCCCCGCCGGTTGCCTTTATTGAACTCAGTTGCAATCCACTCTCTTCTTCGTACCCCGCTTTCTTCATGAATTCGGTCGTGAGTGTGGTGCCTTGTCTTGGCCTCAAACCACAGCTCCAACAATCTACGCAGCAGTCTAGAGGCACAGCGGCAGAAATCCATGGTCGTCGGACAAAATCCAAATCAAACTGAATACAGTGTAGTTGGGGTAGACAGACTCACGGTCAAAACCAAAGGCACAGGGATAGGACGGTTCCACGGACACAAGAAAGAACATCAATATCAGTTCATCATGTCAACTAGCTACATGGTGTGCTCCGGAGCTCCAAGCGCACTCAATTTTTTTGAATTTCGGCTTTCAGCCGCTTGTACAAGCTGTGGCTGAAACAAGCCGAAAAAAAACGGCTGAGAGTCAGCCACGGCTGAAAGTCGCTTGTAGGACATTTTTCAGCCATTTCCATGGTAATAGTGACGTAAACAAGCGCTTGTTTCGGCTGAACGGCTGAATCGAGCTCGGTGTGACCGCGGCCTAAGGCTGCCTCAGAAGTCTGCCCGCCGCTGCCAGAAGACCGAGTTGTTCACGAGAGGCCGTTCGCAACTACCGGCATCGACTATGCTGGTCCGTTGTACGTGCGCCGTGGTGAGTCATCTCCGAAGGTATGGATAGCATTGTTTGTGTGTGCCACCACCAGAGCAGTTCACTTGGAGGTGGTCGATAGTTTAAGTACCGAGTCATTCTTGATGGCATTTCGGAAGTTTGTCGCGAGACGTAGTTTGCCGTCTCGGATCAGGTCTGACAACGCTACAACGTTCAAGGCGGCATCTGACAAACTGAGTGTGCCATGGATGTTCAATCCTCCAGCTGCACCATGGCATGGAGGCTTCTATGAGCGAATGGTTGGTACAGTGAAGAGTGCCTTGAAAAAGGTAATGGGAACAGCGTTTCTGAAGGTCCAGGAGCTTGAGACCCTCGTGTATGAGGTTGAAGCAGTGGTGAATAGTCGTCCGCTAACTTATGTGTCTGATAGCCTGGATGAGCCACCAGTAACCCCTGCAATGATGATGGGTAACAGGGGCGTACGCCGCTCGCCTCCAGGAGTGGTTCCCATGCCCGCTGATCAGCCAACATTCCACACAAAATTGCTTTTAAAAAGTGGTGTTACAGATGTATACTGAGCGCACGATATTAACCCTTTGAAGCCCAGCTGGGTTTTCTGATTTCCCAGGCACTCGCACCGCGCAGCACGCAACCACGGATGGTCGATTTCAAAATTTCATAATTCACTCACCAGCAATGGAATTTCATGATCTGGAACTCCCTGAAAAGCTTGTGATCTCCTCCATCCAATGATAAAGACTAGACACTAAGCAGAAGCAATAGAAGCGCCTCCAAGTCCCTTGAGTGCAGCTCTATCGCGCCTGAACGAGATACACCACCCACAGTGACAATTTCCTTCGGTTCATGACTTTTACTCAACACAAAACAACGATTCAAAGTTCTCCGTGCTGCTGAAGCTCAAGCGGTCATCTTGGTACCCATCGCGCATGGGCTGCACTGGTATGAGTCATGGGGAAACCCCATGCGCACGCGAGCTCTACTCGAAAATTTCAAAATTCTAAAGTTTAGAAGTATTCAACCGCGTTCCGGTCTTTGCCGCTCGGGTATTTCGCATCGCGCTGCCACAAGTGACACACCGCTGGAAAGGTCTTTTCCTTACCTTTCCAACAAGCTATCGTTTGTGAAAATCAAAGAAAGGACAACGGAGATACGAAGCTTTGTACAGTGATCTATGCTCAATGCGTACACAGTGCGCGTTTTGGACGAGTATACTCGTCCTTGGGAAAT